GAAAATGACATTTGCTTTTTCATTTTCAAAAAATGCTCTGCTAAATTTGTATCATAATTCAAAAGAAAATGCTAATTTTAAAATGAAAATGCAGTAACAGAAACACGTTTTAACTTTCAGAATATAGGTGCTTTATTTGACCTATATTTAAAATGAATATTCAGTCATCCAATTTGCATTATACTTTTGCTCTCTATGTATGCATATTGTATGACATAATTCAAATGAAAACGAAAAGGTCTTTGGCTTTTCGTTTTCAAAATTGCCGTGCTAAAAAGTGATCATAATTCAAACCAACTCGAAAACGAATTGGCAAAGTGGACAGCGCAGGAAAGTCAGACTCCAGCTCCCAGGCAGGCTAAAGTAATATTTACAGTCTCTATGAGGCGAGTGGGCAGAACACGCATTACGTTGGGTGGCGGGGTGCATATTTAACGCTAGTTACACTCTGAGAAACAGACGAGGGAGTCGTCTGCATAGAGAGTGAGTCTGCTGATGTTTGGTAAGATAGAAAGTTGAAACATGTACTTATTGATTTCAAACCTGGAAGTTGTGGTGCTACAGCAGCAGGTTACAGCTTCCATACATTATCCGACTTCAGAAAGTGTGACATCCTCTCACAGCTAAAGACAACATGTCAGCAACTCAGAGTTTTCAGTGCGTTTCATTTGATCTTGAAAAGCCGGAAATTCCGAGTTGCCGGTCTGATCATCAGGAACGCCACCCCTGAAGTCGCAAATCCAATTTGGAAACTTCAGTAGCCCGAGTTAAAATCCAACATGGTTGGCGCTGCATCAACAGTAACGTTTAAGCTGCTCCCTCCCACTATCACGCAGAGTGTCGTCTTTTTGTGTAATTAAATCAATCAGACTGATGGTATCGTGCAAGTTCTCACGTAGTGTGTTGTTATCGTCTGGTGTTAGCTAACAAAACAAAGGTACTCCTGGACGCGTCCATGTTGCTTTTCCAACTTGCAACTGGAATGCAATTAACTCAGGTGTGACGTCATTCCCAGCTCCGAGTTCCCAGTTCCGAGGTAAATGGAACGCAGCTTACTTGTTACCAACTCGTAAATGGAACGCACCATTAGTCACAGACTCAGATTTAACAAAGATTGGGTTCTTATAGGGTCACTTACCCTAAGACTTCAAATAGATTCATTTTTACATTATCTCCCATCATGCACCTGGCAGAAATCTACAGCTACAACTTTAGAGCAGAAAACTAAAAAGAAGGAGAAAGTGGTGGAGATGTGAAGGGAGCAAGACAACCTCCTTGACGTGTCCTCCCCTTCGTACCACATCGTAGAGAGGAGAAGGAAAAAAGGGGGACAGAAATTGCTCTGGTCTGCAAGAACCCCAGTGAGTCCACGATAGCTACATATAGCACCAGGTATCACCTGGTCAGTCATTCTTCAGTCTCTCTATGAGGGGGAGGCGTCAGCACTATGAAATCTTTGTTGGCACACCAAACTGAATTCCTACATACTGATGTCATCTGTCTTTATTGCAGGAGACTTTTCATGATGGGAAACAGCAGCACAGCTCAATCTTGCACCAATATGTGCAGCGTCAACAGCAATATGTCTGCAGGATCGAACTTCAGCTTCTTGTCCCTGTTCTTTGATTTATCCGGGGCTGGTTTCTCAGACATGATGAACCACTGTCACGTTCAGAGTGGCTCCCTCGGCTGGTTCGGAGTCAAGATCTTCATCCTGCTGACGGCGTTTCCGGCTAATGCGGCATTGATGATGATGATGCTGATGTACAGGAGGAAATCCATGACGCCATCGGAGGTGTTGGGGTTCAACGTGTCGATCATGGACATCCTGTACTGCCTCAGTCTGCCTCTGGACCTGTACTCCATCCTGCACCACACATCTGACTCCGTCCACTATGCCAAAGACACTCTGTTTGCCCTCAATGTGTTCGGCTGCCCACTGCTGCTCACCTTCATATGTTTGGAGCGCTACGTGGCGGTGGCTCAGCCCATCTCTTACATTAGACTGGGCAGGATGGCGTACCGAGTGGTCCTGTGCACCTGTGCCTGGATCCTCACCCTGACCGTGGCCCTGCTGGGGTACTTTGTGGGTCTGTTCTCCATGCTTCTGTGTTTGTCAGTCATCATCTCGCTGCTCTTCCTGATCATGCTGCTGTGTCTGCTCAAGATTGTGGTGGTGTTGTGTCAGAGCGGGCCGGGTGAAGGTTCTGGATCAAGCGTGCCGCTAAAGAGGAGGGCTCTGAAGAACATCGTGGCGGTGACGGTGCCAGCGGTCGTAGCGTACTCTCCTCTGGTGGCTCTGGTTCCTTACATGGCGGTGATCACGTCTACTCACCAGACCACCATCAGTCCCAATCAGTGTACCGTCCTGAAGGTCCTGCTGCTCTTCCCAAACTTCGGCCTGTTCATCGGCCCCTTGTTCTACCTGTCCCGCCTCCAACAGGTGAGCTGCTGCAGCAAAGACAAGCAGAGTCAAAACAACAAAATTCAGACGGAGTAGATCATCGTCTCTATGACGCCTGTAAACCTCAGTGTCATGATGATTGCGATGTGAGCTGTTTTTGATACTTGTTGTGTGCTGTTAAATTCTTTTGATTTTTCATCTGTTTTCTCTACATTTCTGCATTCTAAGATCCCCTCGAAAACAAGATGACACAGAATAAAGAGTTTCAAAGATCTGCAGCTCAACTTTATGTTTTATGAACATCTGAATGTGTGAATCTGTGACTTCAGGTCTTTGTGTGAAAGGTTAAAAATAAACAACTCTTTAAGGTGTTTCCTTCCTGTGACTGAGGGGAAAATGAACCCTCTCCAGCTGCTCAGCTCAGAAACCAAAACATGGAAATCTAAAACACACTGAGCGTCACATTTCTGCTGAGCTCGAGTCAGACGGAGAATCTTTATAACCTGAACAAACTGAGGGAAACAATCAGACTCCTGTGTCAGCAGCTGTCTTAAAGGAGCAGTATGTAATTCTGACACCTAGTGCTTAAAATGGGTACTGCAGTCCAAATTCTAAACATTGTGGAGAGCTGTCTCCCCCAACCCCCCCTTCCCCCCTAGAGTTGATGCTCATGCAGGTTGCCATGTTAGAAACATGCAGAGGCTTTTTAGTTCGGGTACAATCATGATACATTTATTTTTTTAACATTAAGTCAGGTCGAGTATCTCTGTGACCTCCACCCGTCCGTCCTTCATCAGCGTCTCCTGAAGCCGAGGTCGACTCAGCGCCGTCCACAGACACTGCTTCAGCTCCAGAACCCGACACACGTAGTCCTTCAACAAATGAATGAATTAATGTTTTTAATTTGGTCATTCATTAAAGAATAACAAGAGTCAAAAATATTTGTGTAAATAGTCCACTTACAGAAACAGAAACACAAAATACTTTACAAGTTCACAGTCTTGTCCATTTCACATAATAACATTCAAACATTCATCACTTTAAAATCTCTGTTATTGACATGACAGCTCCCAAAAAGTGAAACCAAAATATAAAGAGCTCCCCCTGCTGACTGGCTGCAGTACAGGTCATAAACTCCGCCTCCTCCATGTTAACAGATGGGACATGAGTCAGAAGTGGTTTCTGTCTTCATAGTTTTCTCTCATCACACTGATTAATGTCTAAGTGTTCATGTTTCTGAGAAGTTGAGTTTGATAATAAAAGAATATTACATCATGATTGACAGCTGTGTTGACCAATGAGACCTGCAATGTAGAGGAGGAACGGTGAACTCACCCTGGAGTGTCTGCTTCAAACTGAAACAAGAATCTACTCTGTGTTGGACTGAACCCACCTGAGCGACCTTTGACCTTTAAGCAGGAAGTTAAATGTGTGTTTTTGTCCGAGGAAAAGGCAGCTCGTCATCTCTACTGTACAGACTCTGACTCCAGATGTTCATGTGTCGGCGCCTGTGGCGAGTCGTTTGTACAACAGGAAGAGGCGTGTCAGAGAGAGAGATGTAAAGGTGAACAGGTGTCAGACAGGATGAGGCTGAGAGAGTAGCTCTCATCCAGAGCAGTGTTGAAGTCTCACCGTGTGTTTGGACTGTGACAGTGTGGAGAGGACACTTGGCTGGAGCACGGCGCTGTAGATGCTTCTGTATTGCTCCACGCTCAGACCGTGGATCAGAACCGTCTGAACGCACTCGTCTGTAACCTTCTGCTCAGCATGAGCCCTGTTGACATCACCTCCTGACATCATATCCTGTTTACACAGAAACAACAATATTGAAAATAAACTTAGAGCACTAACATGAACACTAACACCTTTTTCACAGTGGTGGCGATGATTTTTTTTTTTAAACTCTGAAGAAAGCGCTCTGAGCTGAAAATCTTTCACCTTTGTAGAAAGGTGCCGGTTTTCAAATGTATGATATATATGTATACTGCCTTCCAGCGTCCCGGGCCTCTACTCTGATAAATCGTGATTAGATTTTGAATGGACTCTCAAACATAAAGACAAACTTACTGAATCCTGAAAAATAATCTGAATAACAAACAGCCTTTTACCTCGTCTTCATCATCACATAAATCCTTTCACAAACACATCCTGTTTTTAGTTCTTTAAAACATCTTTTCCTCTAACGATAAAGTCGTTAACAGTTTAGAGGTTTTAATCCAGAACACAAAGTAGAAAGATTTTATTTACACTGACATTACAGTGTATCAGAGTTTCTGTCACTTTTAAAGAACAGAAACTTTAAAACTTAAGATTTAAAGTTTTGACATTAAACTTAAAGAAAGACTGAAACATGTTTCTTACCTCGTCCATTGTTCGATCCGATCGGTTTGTGTGAGAGGCTCCTGTGAAGTGAATCGGCTCGTTTGACAGTTTTAATTTAAAAAATAACAGAAAATAAACGTTCCACATTGAGTTCTGGAAAACCTGCAGGAACTTCAAAAATCATCAAATTATTGAGAGTCCCTCAAGGTGTTGGTTACAAAACAAATCTTTACTGAGTCAGTGTGCAGCTTTTAAACTAACGACTGAAGAGTCTAAACTGTGTTCATGCAGAGAGAGATATCCAGTTAAGATAGGCTAAGCTAAGATAAGCTAAGCTGAGCTAAGCTAAATTGTGAATATATCATGTTTTAAATAAAAACACTAGCTCCCATAATCTCTGCCTGTAACGCTTTGTTACAGGCAGATGTGCCCACTCTCCTCTGATTGGCCAGCTCTCTGGAAACCCTCAGGGGGGCAGAACACTGCAGGGCTGGCAGGGGAGGGCTGCTCTCCAGGTCTGGCAGAAGAGAGTCTATGTAAGAGGTTTCAGTGGCTTACGTAGAGGCTTGATGCCGTCTGGTGAAATTCTTGGTTTCATATCGGGGAACTATGGTGTGATTTACAGAACAAGCTGATTGGGCCGTGATTGGCTGACATGCCTCAGTGCACGCTGCACGTCTGACGCTGTGTGATCAGCCTGATTGAACATTATTCATACAACTCAAACATCTGGTCTAAATCAGGCTGAAGTTTTGCAGAGTACGTCTGGATGAATGTTTAAAGAGAATGTTTGAAGAGAACAATGTTCAAGGTAATTACATGTTTCACGATAATAGTAGTCATTTTAAGATCCTGAACGGGGCGCCAAACAGGATTCAGAGTGTTTACGAATACGCTGTTTAAACAGAGAGAGACACAGGATCTTAAACACCACATCCGTTGATTTAAAATCACAGCCTTATTACTGAATGAACACCTGAGTCACTTTTTACATAAAGATCACAGCAGGTACTGACTGAAACCTCTCAGTAAAACAATCTGAACTGAGTTCTGAGTTCATCTCCCCATCCCCTGACCCCTACCCTCATCAATTCATGACTTCATCACCCCATTCCAAGACCCCTACCCTCTCTACTTCATCTCCATCCCTTGACCCTACCCTCATCAATTCATGACTTCATCTCCCCATCCCAAGACCCCTACCCTCTCTACTTGATCTCCCCATGTGCAGCTGTGGCTCAGTTGGTAGAGTCATTGCCTCTCAACTGGAAGGTCAAGGGTTCAATCCCCAGCTGGAAACATGTCCAATGTGTCCTTGGGCAAGACACTTAACCCTGAATTGCTCCTGCTGCTTCGGTGGTGGTGTATGAATGGGATTAATTTCTTCTGATGGATGTTGCTACATAGCAATCACTACCATCTGGTGTAACCTGCAGTGTAAAAGTGCTTTGAGTAGTTCTAAGACTAGAAAAATGCTATATATCAAAGATTAGATTTATCAAAAAGGAAAGTCTATTTAAGTCTATTCTTAAAAGTACAGAGTGTGCCTCCTGTACCCCGGCTGGAAGATGATTCCAAAGGAGAAGAAGAAAGAGAAGAATAGTACATTTAGAGACTGAAGGTACCACAAGCAGGCCCTGATAACTGAAGGCTCTACCTCCTATAGTACATTTAGAGACTGTAGGTAACACGTGCAGGCCTGAGACCGTAGGTACCACGAGCAAGCCTGCTAACCGAAGGCTCTACCTCCCATAGTGCATTTAGAGACCGTAGGTACCACAAGCAGGCCTGAGACCGTAGGTACCACGAGTAGTGTTAGGTGGGGGTTGTTTCTGTTTGTATAAATCCAATGAAGAAATCGTGAAACAGACTGGAGATTATAACACCATTTAATCGGCCGAGGTCAGACAACTTCATCAAACAAGCATGCATCCAAATCACTGGACTGACAAAGTGCTGACAAAGTAACAGTGTTCACAGTGCTGCTTATATTCTGTCAAAAAGGTGCAACCCACAAATTCCTTTCTATTTGGGTGCATCACCATAAAACAATAAAGATGACATGACACTGATTTGTATACGTAACAACTGTAGACTCTCTGTCTAGCAAACAGTTGTTGACAACATATAGTTGGCTCTTATCCAAACATAGATCTGCTACTACTTAGGTGCTTCACCCATATAAGGTTACAGCCTCAGACACCTAAAGGTAGGAGTGCTAACAGGTGGTAGACAGACTTGAATACTACATTTCACAAAGTTACCAAGATGAATGAATTTCATGAAAATTCGTACTAACAAGTAGGCCTAATAACCGAAGGCTCTACCTCCCATAGTACATTTAGAGACCGTAGGTACCACGAGCAGGCCTGATAACCGAAGGCTCTACCTCCCATAGTACATTTAGAGACCGTAGGTACCACGAGCAGGCCTGAGACCGTAGGTGCCACGAGCAGGCCTGATAACCTAAGGCTCTACCTCTCATAGTACATTTAGAGACTGTAGGTACCACGAGCAGGCCTGATAACTGATGGCCTGGCCATCAAGAGCTTTTTAAGTGAGAAGAAGGATTATAAATTATTTTGTAGATTGTATAGGGTGCCAGTGCAGAGAAGCCACTACTGGAGTTATGTGGTCCCTTTTTTTTAGTTCAATTCAGGACTAGTTGAAGAGTCTTTAGAGATTTACCAGGTGAGCCTGATGAGAGAAAATTAAAGTAATCCAATCAGCCTGATCTTAGATATATTACGAAGGTGAAAATAGGCTGTCCTTGA